TAGTATTCATTTAAATTGGCGTAATTAATCAACAATTTTATCATATTTTTCTAACAATCAACGCATTTATTACAAATTTGAACACTTGAGGGAAGACTGGGGACAGTTGTAGCGCTCACTCAACTATTGAGTCCGCAGCGCTTGCTCGCATTGCAGTATTTCATGGCTGTGACAGATTTTCTAACCTAAATAGTCGCCAACTTCGACTTAAAATGTCTCGGTAAAATGTTTCGGTCACGAAGTAGAGAGAGACACTTTTTTCTTGGCAAATCTTTATTTTTATGCGAAAACGCATCGATTCAGTGTATTCTCATCAAAATTTGAAGCTCATACAGGTTTGCGGGCTCTTAACATTACCCTGAAGTTAATTGTAACAATGGTGTTACAATGTACCCTAGTGATATGGTACTTCTAACCTCAAACTAATGTCAAAATTTATATGAATTTGAAACTACTTCTTATAAATATTTAAAAAAGACATGCACATAGCTTAAAAAAATATATTTTAAACTTAATAAAATAAAAAGCATTTTATTTGAAAGTTTATAGTAAAAAAATATAAAATCGTAAATTTACGCTTATGTGGCTTATCTAAGCACAATACATATAACTCTTTTACATGCAGTGCACGCGCGATTGGTGGCATGAGGCAGACGCAGGCCTCGATAACGACTATTTTTGTTCTTTATGTTCTTTATGTTCTTTATATTAGATATGTATGACTTTACTTATAAGGGAACGCACAATCAAGTGTCCATTTTCAATTTTAATAATTTTGGATATAATAAATACAGAAAAAAGAGAGACACGGGTAGTCTTTTTATAAATGCTCAATCGCATGTTAAAGCGGTCCTTAGGCGATTATTATCGGATTATATATTTTAATAATTATATTTTAATCTATTTTTTTTAAGGAATGTTTCTTTTATACTTAATAGAACTTATGAAATTAAAAGTAATAAAAACTTAATACGTAATAGAACTTATGAAACATAGTATATATCTTTTATTTTGATCTATATTACAATATATCCAAAGCTCGTCAAAATCAAAGAAAATACTTGCAATTTTTCCTTGTATCTAAAAAAAGGTTCGTTATATGTATACATAATTATATATATTATATGTATAGGGTAGGGCGAGGCTATTCCGTTAGTTTCAACTTTAAAGTATGAAAATTTATGATAAAATTTACAAACAATATCTCTTTGCAGCGACGTGCTTATAATTACATCATACAATCATGATTGCTTCTCGAAAGCACAAGTACTTTAAATAATCAAGATGTACTGAAACATTATCGCGAAAAATGGACGAAAAAGTCCCGCTCTACTTTATATAATTTTACTTCTAATTTTCACCTTTTTTTAAATCTTTCAATCGACTTTGTTCCATTTTGTTTTGTTTGTATTTATTTCACGAATCTGGTTGGTTAAATTATTTTTATATTTTTTAAATCTACAAGCTAGCGTATATACTTTCGTTCTTAAGCTTATTTTGCGCTTGTTATTAGATGAGTTATTTTCTTTTGTCTGATTTAGTAATAATTCTTCTAATTCTTTTCTTTTTGTACAACATTTTGTAGGTGAATTACTTTTATATTCGTCCAATCTGTCTTCCATTATATATTATTTAATATCTCGCAAATATTTTTCACAAAAGCAAAAAGTAATCCACTCATCGACGATTGGATTGATGTTTGTTGTATTTAACTGCTATTGCGTAATTTGTTTCTATTCGAGTACAATTGTTACTTAAGATATATTATTCATATATATATTGTATATATATATATATCTTTCTTTTTCTTGCATGCTTGTCTTTATTTCTGTTAGATGTTTGCTGTTTCTTTGAATATTATTGCACTGAAAAAACAGAAAATTAAAATCAGTATTCTATCCAGTATAGTATTTTAACGACCAGACTACACGTTGTGTGGATCCTCGGATTATGATAAATTTTGGAATGTAGCTATGTTATCTCTAAATATGACTCCTGGTAATTTAATGCATGAGTCATATTGATTTTAGAGAAGACCTCAAAGTTGCGCTTTTGGCAGAGCTTTTTTAATGATAGATCTTCTATATACGCAACTATGCGCTTCTGTGCACCTTCATTGCATCTGCAGTATATAAAAGTGCCAGAAACATGCAGATATTGACGTCGAAACTAGTACGCTGAAACTTGTGTAAACAAAGGTAAAATATGATCGTTTATATACGATGAACAACAAAATCATCAAACTTTAATGTCTGTTTACAATGAACCAGGGCTCATGCATTAAAACTACTTTACTAGGAGTCATATCTAAAGCTAATCTATATATATATATATATAGTTATATTCTAAAATTCATCATAACCGAGGATCCATACAACGTGTAATCTGATCGTAAGTTGTAAAAAAGCAAAAGTTGTATGATCGTATATGGACAGTATCAAAGTCTTAAGAACAAAATCATTTAAATCATTACGGTACCTTTTATTTTATATACGACTACATACACTTAAACATGTATTTGAATACCATAAAATATTTCAGTTGTTTAGCAATCCTATATTAATAATTCGAACACCTGAAGAATATTGGCTTCTGTTTGTCCTAGAAAAACAAAATTTTCTCAATGTGTCGTATTATTTGAAAGACTACTGAAAAAAGGAAACTTAATTAATTGTAATCTTCTAAATGTAAATCTCGTTATAAATCGTATCATACACTGATACACATTATTTGTGGGAAAATAAAAAGAAAAGACTTAGAAAAGATCAATAAGGTTTTGTAAACATATAACAATTATGAAGTTATATTTATTAGTTTATATTATATTAATTAAAATTGTAATGTATCTAAAACTTTTTATAAAGACTTGACAAATGTATGTGTAGAATAAACTATAAAATATCTAATAAATTATTGGTTTTTTGATACGTTTATCTTAATACTTTTATATGCAAAGAAATTAGAGGTCATATTATGTAAAAAGATCAGTAGTTCCATTTAAAAAAAAAATGGAAGTTACTTTCATCTTTTTGGCGCATTCATCCGGAAAAAAATATGACCCCAAAATATGTCCCTCTTCTATATCATATAACTTTTATTTATACAATAACTATGTGTTTTGCGGGTTATCTCCATGTCCAAATCCATGCCAATGTTTCGAGAACAGTTCATTTCATCAGGGCGAGGAGCAGCCTGATACTTTTATTTTAGAATATTGTTTGGTAAAATTGCATATTTTCAAAATATTTGAATCACTCGATACATTATAGTATATGTTATCACGCACTTTACGAGAACGAATTTGTATAAGGCTGATTAAAACGTAAGAGGGAAAGGTTAAGGAAAATCTTCGTAAATATTTCTCGCAATATCGAACGTCGTTTACAAAATCAAAAAGAGAGAATGAATTATTGAGAGAAACTCACAACATTTTTCGCAACTGTTTCATTTTTTCCTATATTTTTTTCTGTATTTTTCTTTATAGAAATTGATATCGAATTTATCATAGTAACAACGCTATTAGACTCAAGGAAAAAGTGATACATTGAAATAAAGAATAAAATCGTTATTCACATTATTACAAAATTACTGTCAGTTATGCTTCAATTGTTTAATAAATTCGGAGAGTTGTTGATTTAATTCTGTATTAGTTTTTAAATGTTGATCTAATTCTCTGAATAGTTTTTAAATAAAGCATAACTGGACACGATTACGATAGATCGTCATAACAAGATTATGAGTCTGAGTGACCTCCGACAGATTTTAAGTGGCGATCGTCCTTCATTAAAAAGTTTCGTTATTAACAAAGAAGTTATTTAAAAATAACGTTTTATTTCTACAACATTTTTCACCCGAAGCGACTCTCACTCATCAGTGAATCAGTGATTTCAATGCTATATTTTTAACTGATGTAATTACTGATGTATTTACTGTTTTTCAATAATAATACACTGATTTACTTTTAGAGATTAAGATTTTCTGCAGATTCAATCTGTATTATTACTGAAAAAACAGTAAATATTCGCTGATGATTATATCAATTATAAGTATATAACACTGAAGTCAATAATAATACAATGATTCACTTTTAAAAAGTAGCAGTTAAATCAATGACTCGTAGCAGAAAGCACAGAAAAACGACACTTATATAATTATTTCGAAAGTTGTTATTAAAAGAAATGGAATTTATTTGCAATCTTTGTATTTCTTTAATTGCAAACTTACACTAATTTTGGATTTAGAACTACGTTAAGATTTTAAATAATTTCTAGCAAGGAACTCGAGAAACTGCTGTTGTAGATCGGAGATTCTCTTTTTATAAGGCAAGAAAAGATACGTTGTATTTTTCCGAAAAATTCGAAGGATAAGGGTACTCATTGGAATGTACTGAGTTTCTTCTATCTTAAGTGCGTAATCTCTTTCTCTCTTCTGGATGATGGTTCACGTAATAGGTTTCTTAAAGGTACATATAATCTTATTTTGAAAGAATACTTCTTTCGTGAATATATGAACGATTATATTTATATTTACAACGATGTTAACGGCAGAATGACAACACCAATCCACTATTTAGTGTAATAATGCGCAAAGATAACATGATAACATAAAATTCATAAATTTCGACAACGAACACAAAACTTTATATTCTCTTTGTATCAAAAAGAGGAAAAGAGAGTTCATATATTCGGCTTAATATTAATCCCAGTAAAGGCCACTTCGATCAACTTCGATTAACTTTATTAATCGATGATTAATTCATTGGAATTGATCAATTGCATTTGTCAACAATAGATACAATTGATCAATTCCAATGGACTAATCGTCGATTAAAATTAATTATAGTCGGTTGAAGTGGTCCTAATATAGTCTAGGATAACGCGAGTTAAAGATTCGCATTTGGTGTCGTCCGCTCAAGCAAATCTATAATTATAAATTTGCTAATGACGAATTCAAGCAAACTGTGCGCTGATTGTTATATCGATTTTGAAACACAGTCTTCAATTGAAATTGAAACAGTAATATCACCAATTAAATAGACAAGCAATGATATATAAATAGAATACTGATAATATAAATAGAAAAGCAAATTTAATATTACTGATGCTAATAGTGCATATACCAAAAAATAAATAAATAAAATAATGTATTACGTGAAATGTCACCTCAATTGGAATTCGAACTTGGATTTCTCAAATTCCGCCCGCATGAATCAATAAACAGAGATTATGAATTACCACAACCATTGCAGCAATCGAAAAAAGTATAAACATAAAAATATAGTGCTTCTGTGTTACTAATTTATTGCTTTATTCATGCTTTGTCTTGAAATATTGCAAAAGTCTGTAAGTAAAATTTGACTTACAGCAGTTATAGCATATAAAACATATACATATACATATTATTTTTATGAAATATGTATATTACTTTTATCTATGCTTTAAACTTGGATTTTTACTTTTAGAAGCTTAATTTGTTATAAATTAAATATATAAATGTAATTTTATGTAAGTATCAAATTATTTAATATAATAAAATTTATTATTTGAATATAATACTAAAATATTACTGTAATCGAATATTCTCAGAATATTTTTTTCCAAATTCATTATGTATAATTGTGTTGAGGATTTCTGTGATTTCCTCGGCAACTTGTGTCGTGTGCGTATGCGAACGCTAATTCTATCTTTTTTGTTTAGTGTAGGTGATTGGGTGCACTAACTGACTCACAAAATTATCAAAATATAAAGTTTTTATTTGGCTTGCCATGACGACGTGAAACTTGTAAGAGACGGTAACGACGACCGGAAACGAACGCGCGAAGGGCAAGCTAGCCAAATGCGTGACAAATGAAAAGGATCTAGATCATAGCGCTGTGTGTTGCTGTCAGGCTAGTAACTTAATGTGCGCGTACGCGTAGCAAACTTAGGAACTATACGCAATGCATGGGCGGGAACTTAACTATACGCAACATAATGTTTATTTAATAGATGTCCCAAAATTCGCTTATTTGGAGTATAGAATATGATACTTTATCAAAACAAATAACTTTTTCTTTTAGCAAAATTGCGTTCAATAAGTAATTTTTGTTCTTATTTGTTAACTTTAATCTGCTCTCCTGCAAAAATTACTTATTGGGTGCAATTTTGCTAATGAAAAAAATTATTTTTTGTGCTAAAACGAACAACTTTTTCCGATAGTAAAATTACATTCGATAAATAATTTTTGCGTTTACTCATATAACTTCAACCTGCTCTTTTGCAAAAACTATAATATTTATTAGACACAATTTTGTAAAAAAAAAATTGTTTGTGCTGCGAATGCACGAATTTTGGAACATCCATATATAACGAAATTACGAAATAAAAAATAATTTAAAGTATATGACGATATAGATAACTATGAGAATAAATTGTATTAAACAAATTAATTGCTTTGTATAGATTAAAAAAAATTTTTTAATTTATAATTCTTAAAACATATCATTTCCAAATTTTTAAATTAGTGTTTAATTTAATAAAATGGATTAATATTACGATGGTGCTAACGTTACTTGAAGGTTGCAAAAGGAAAAAATTTTCGTTTTTTGAATATATATTTGTGAAATATCTATTTTAATCTGACTCTTGCGTGTGTGCGTGCGTGCTTGTGTGTGTGTGTGTGTGTGTGATTATAATATAATGATTAAATTATTACAAGTGAATCAGTGCTATTTGGCTATTAGGTGAATTTAAACTATGTATTAGTATTTATTAATATTTTAACAAATTCATACTCTCTTTGACTATTCTCGAACTTTTCTTCACGATGTAGATGACGTGTCATGTTTGCTAATAATAAAGCCACCTCCAGACGATATAGCCAATGTATAGACAAACTTTGCACATATTCGCTAAATATTGTCTACATTCAATGTGAATAATTATGTATGTCATGTATGTATATGGTATTTACTAATGTTGGCATACGTTGGCCATATCATTTGAAGGTGCCTTAACACGCCCTAAGGCACTTTGGTTTTGACGAGAGTAGGAACCCAGGAAATGAAAAAACAGTCAGTTACGAACTGTCAGTTACGAAAATAACCGCAAAATTTTTATTTTTATTATATATATTTAAAATACTTATCGGAAAGTATATATACTGGATTTTTTCTATCTTAAAAGTTTAAGATAACTCCGGTATATATACGCTGCACCTATCAAAAACTTAATTTATTAAGTATTATTTACTACGTTTAAAGTAAACGAACTATATCAGTAAAAACTTTACTGTCTACTGAAAAAAATATTAGAAATCTAAAATATTTATATTTCGTATTAAAAAATGAACTTTTTTAAACCCTTGCATTTTTGCCGTATATCCTATAGAGGTGGGATATATGTCTATCAGGGGGAAAGGAGGGGTATGTACTCATGAAAGGAGTATGTGCTCATGAAAAATTTACAAATAGTGCATATAAATAAGACACAGTAACTTATAAAATGCGTTTATAAAGGAATAAGAAAATGATAGATATGTATATGAAGTAATAAATAATAATTACAATCTTCCTAGATGTATTATAAGTGACGTGAGGTACATATTTTATGTAATACGTTTAGTGCACTAAATTTAATCTGCGCACTTTGTATGTTTTGGGCATAAATCCCACCCGCTAAAAATGTCCTCAAACAGGTGGGATATACAACAAATTAAACAAAGAATACAAGAGCAAAGTACTTGTATTTTGCTGTACAACATGCTTTACTATTCCTCTACACTCATGTATCACGAAATAACCACTAACGTCTTTTGCACGTTCTATAGTAATCATTTTATGTAGATTATAATTATGATGGTACTACTTAACAGTGACAAATCGATTCAACTCACAATAATTTAATTAACAGTAAGAAACTGAAATCGTAACACTATATTAATATAATATAAAGGCATATAATGGAGAGTAGTTGCTGGAAAATTTCCTCCCTCACTCCTATTTTTTCTAACTTCTGCGGCGTAAATCCCAGCGCGGCGTATTTACCGGAGTTACCTTATAATCTCTTTCTTTCTTATCTTCTGCGTAGACAATGGTCGTAATAGGTTCCTCAGGGTACATATAATCTAATCTTAAAAGTATACAATCTTGAAGTGACAATAGTCACACTTACGACGATGTTAACAAACGAATGACAACACCGTAATAATAACCAATTACCATAACATTATGCGACGATTACGTAATAGAATTCACAAATTATGACACAAGACTATCAATCCGCCCTCTTTCCAAGGATCAATCTCAAAAAAAACACCTTTGAGACACCACAATATCGCTTCAATAAAAAGATCGAGTCCAATTCCTATTTACGATATGCTGTTGGCTCACAACCTGTAATAACTGACGAGATCTCATACACGTTTACACGATTCCGCATTCCTCTCCTCTCCTCTTCTTACAAACCCAATGATATACCTACTCGCTTACATTTCTACAGCCTCGATTTTTAGGAATCCTCAATGATTAGAGGATATACACTTAGTGAACGCAAATATTCGAACATGCATATTTATGTGGACGCCGTTTATTTCTTTCCTTCATTTTATCAACATTCGATTAGATTCCATATTCGCATATAACAATTGAATTTGTGTAATTATATAGATACGGAATTCTTTCTATTGTCCTATTGGTCAAATTTTAGAAGAGAGAAAATAGTGTATTCTAACCATACATTGTTTCATCTCTTTCTAAACCTGTCATTATGGTTTCGATGCTATTCGTCATCCGTGTGTCGATGGGCAGACTTTGCACTACACTTTAAAAAATATTGGTGTGGATACTCCATGTAGTGTCTATATAATTAATAGTATTAGGGGAAAGTGGGAAAACTGTGCGCACTTAAGGAAAATTTATTGCTTTGGAATGGTTTTTCAAGTTTAAAGCGATATAAGTATGGAAATAGAAACTATAAACATTCTTCTACCATTAGCCTCATATCAGATTTTCATTCAATAAGATTATATTTAACCAAAAGGAAAAAATGGAAAAGCGAAAAAATTTCTCACGCGTCGGATAACTGTGCACATGAATCGGGTAATTGTGAGCAAAACAAAAGCTGTAAAAAATGAATGAATTGTTAACAAAGGAATGTTAACAAAGAAATCAGACAATATATTCATTATATTACAATATAAATATATATTAAATAAATTTTAAATATAAATTATATTAAGAAAAAATACAAAATTAATATAATAATAATGCTAAGAAGAAAAAATTAGTGCTAGTCATACAGTATA